AATCTGTCTAGTAACAGGCAGAGAGGAACAAAATTAATTTTGAGGCTTTTTTAAAAAACAGATGACTAGGATTATATGGAACAACTTTTAAAGAGAGTCACTTCATTGGATGGTTTAGCCCAGGAACTGCTGTATTTAATGAATGTTTTTATTCTAAACATCCCATTAGGTTTCATAAATACTGGCTCCGATCAAATGCCTGCACCAGAAAGGAATGAAGATGGTGAATGCGCTCATCAGCCTCAAGATGACATGATGTATATTGATAACTAACACTCATTCCCAAAGCTCAAATAATGGTTGTGGCTGCTGATTGACTTCTTGGCATACTTGACGTGTTTTCTTTTAATGGCTGCATGTACCTCTGTGCCTTACGATAGCCGTGTAACAAGTTAGATCAAATCAGATTTTCAGCTGATGAAAAAAGAGAAGAGTGGGTCCCCTCTGAATACCCAAAAGGGACCATGAGACGAGCATGTACAAAAGCCATGTGCAGTGGGGGCTATAGTAAGAAAATGGGGCGAGATTGAACTAAACAGCTGGCTGGATCCAACCCAACACCTTCCTGTGCTTAGCACTGCATGTATTAGTCTTAAAAGTGTTTCTTCCCGTATGTGTAACGGCAGTTAGAACGTGTACCAAATACTTTCTGTTTACTTTCCCTGGTTTTTAGCCTTCCCAGAGGTGATAGCATGCCACATTAGTACTCTTTACTTAGGCTTCTTGCTATACTCTTCCTTTCAAACGTTAGTCCACATTAGTCTTGCTGGTAATGTCCTCAAAACCCATCATGGCTATCACCTATGATAAATAATCTCCCATTACTTTGTCTTCACCAACACATAATTTCTCCATCCAAGGAACTGCTTTAGTCCAATATGATTTTGTTCTCATAAAAGCTTAGGGCTCTTTTATGTGCAAACACAAAATATCAAAAGCTGGAATAAATTATCATTGATTTGAAGGATGCTCTCCTCCATTTTGTGTGTATTTCTCTTCTCTCCCAAAGCTGGTTCAAGATTACAAACAGGGTCATCCAGACCTTAAGGACAGTAGATGGGAACAAGCAAAGTGTATTTCAGAACTTACTAACAGATCCCTAGTAGAATGTGAATTTGCAAGAGCTTTTCTGTGCAAAATAGCTGGAAACCCATTATAATAATTTAAAACAATATGAAAATAAACCAATATGTTACTTCAAAAGATATGTGAGAATAAATAAACCAATATGTTACTTCAAAAGATACGTCTGAGAATACAGTACTTGTGAGCAACTCGGTTTTGACCAAGTTTTCTTTCATAAACAGATGATTACTTATTATGCATACAGCTGTAGCTTTAGACTTCGGCTCAATTTCATGTTCATTGCATCTATGACACTGTCTAACCATCTCATCCTTTGCTGTCCCCGTCTTCTTTGACCTTCAATCTTTCCCAGCATCACGGTCTTCTCCAGTGAGTGCTCCCTTCTCATTTGGTGGCCAAAGTATTTGTGCTTCAGATGATTACTTATTATGCATACAGCTGTAGCTTTAGACTTCAATATCAATATATCATGTACGCCTACCATGGAGAAACCATTGGACCATCAGATCTGTCTGTACAAGTGAAGCAGAAAGTGAACCACTTTTGAGAGTGATTCCCCCCCAGCAGTAAGATTTCCTCTGTATTCACAAGGTACATCTATATTGCAATTGTAGTTCTACAATATGAATTCAGTCTTAAATGCTGAACTCAATAGGAGTAACTTGGCATCCCTGGCAAACACGCAAAGACACCCTCCACAGGCATTGCCAGACTATCTTGGCACTAAGATTTCCTCTGTATTCACAAGGTACACCTATATTTCGATTGTAGTTCTACAATATGAATTCAGTATTAAATGCTGAGCTCAATAGAAGTAACTTGGCATCCCTAGCACACACGCAAAGACACCCTCCACAGGCATTGCCAGACTATCTTGGCACAGCTCCTGCCTTTAACAGCTGCATAACAAACAGAAATGCAAAATGTGAAACTCCTCCTAGCATGGAAGGGTAGTGATAGGAAGTGTTTTGTTTTCTGATGGCAACGCAGCTGTCAGGCCTGCCATAGAAAAAATGATGGAAACTCTCCCGATTCTAGCAATGCAGAAGCTGATTCACCACCAGCTGAGAACCAAAACTGAAAAGGAAATGGCTCGAAGGAGAAAACCGTCACCTGTGGAAGTAGGGTCTCAAAATCATGGCTGGAATTGGTTCGAGCTGCAAAATCAGTGGCATCAGTCCGCCTTTGTTTTTCCCTTCAGTCCATCTTTCGGCAATGACAGCCAAGCCCATTAAGATCAGAAGTATATGGATGGCTCTGAATCAAGACGGATGGATTTACAAGCAGTAAGCACTATTTGGTCATGTGGGCATTGGTAGGTTCAGTTCATTGAGCTTTCATTAAGAGATACACAGATCAGACATAAACACTATAGCCTTGGGTGAACCCAGTGCCATTTCTTGGGCAACATATCCACTATTCTCTCTATGGTTTTAAGTTGCCAGCTGCTTTCTCCTCCGGAAGTTTACAACCGTGTTTGCAATTAGTGGCGCTGGAAGTGGTCATTGAGGAACAGGGGCTGACAAGGGGTGGATGAAAGTGTTGGTCCCTGACCAAAGAGGTTAAAAAAAAAAGGTGCTTTTTCAATAGTGCAAACTGCAAATGTTCTTCATAATGAAAATCAATTCTTGCAGGTCCACCATATATAGAACACTGAAGCATTCAGTTAAGCCTGAGCAGTCATCTCTAGTGACTCTTCTGCAAAGCAGCTCCAATATTTAAGGAAGTAGAATATAAAAGAGAAAATAAAAATATAGAGAAATGTATGCAGATCCCTCCCAGTCTGCCGGGGAAAACCAGAAAAACTCTGGAGCTCCCAAATCTGCAGACATGTCAAAAGTCTCAGAACAACTGTTGTGGTGATCAGGACTGAGTTTTTTAAGACGAAGATTCTGCTTCGGACTAGTTTGACTGGATAGCGTACACGCCACTTTTTAGCAATTATCTGCCCTAGTTGCTTGGAGATGATGCCATCTAGCAACTGAAATAATAGCACTGTTGCCCCTCACACATATAGCTATAATGAGTACCTGCTGTGATCAGGTAGCAAAGGAGTCTGATGTCTGTTCCCTTGACTATAAGAGGAACAATAATATAAGGCAATTGCTGGGAAACAGACATGCAAGTACTCCAGGCAGCTGGGGGGAATGCAGCTGAGAGAACACTATCCCCAAGCACTTCTAGACACCTCTACATGTTTCCATCACCCAGGGGTCATTTCCTGCAGGAGTGCACAGGAGCTGAGCTCCGGTCGTAAAGAGCCCAGGGGGTGGGCACATGCAACAAGCCCCACGCCCTGCTCCCAGCAGCCCTCAGTCAGAGCAAGAAGCAGCTAGGTAAGCTGCAAAGCTCCCCCCAGTCCAAAACAGTCCAGTGGCATCTTTAAGACCAAGTTTTATTCAGGTACAAGCTCTCCCTCCTCGCTGCGGGTCCCCCCCCCCCCCCAATAGCTAGCAATCCAAAACAGTCCAGTGGAGCCTGAGTGGTGGGTGTTGCCTTCTGACACACTTCTGGTGATGTCAGGGGGTGTGGCATATGCAAATAAGTTATGCTAATAAGTTAAACTAATGAGCTCCTGCACCTCTTTTTCTACTAAATGACCCCTGCTGTCACCTAACAATACGCATGAGATAGTAACATTTTTTTTTAAGTAAGTTCCTGATTGGTAGTCTTACTATTGTCTTGTGCACTTAGTGTGGACCTTTCCCCCCTTTTTATCTGATTGCTGGAGTCCCTACATACCCAAATTCCATGTAGGAGAGAGAAAAAAAGAGTCTTACTTGCATTCAAACCACCCGACAGTGACAAGAATACTTCCCCTGCTGCCTGACAAGCAAAGAACAGCTGCTACAAATAAATTTCTACAGGCTGCAGCAGGTTGGGTAAGGCAAGAGCAGTGGAAGAAAGCTAATCATGGCTTTTAAAAATGAACCATCAGGCATGAAATATATACTTCCAGGAAAAAACACACAGTTCCACAAGAATAGTTGGGCAATAGAAAAACTCAAATCTTTTGCATTAGTCTTGTCAAATTCCCATCTCGGAGTATCTTCTCCTAGTCTATCTGGCTTCTAAATGTGACTTGGCGTTACAAAGCATGTGCATGTACATGCAAGGAAAATGTACCCAGTGTGTTGTGGTAACACGTTATGCGTGTGACCTCACATACCTCTTGTAGTTCCATATTTTCCTTAAAAGAATCCCTGCGGCCGATGATGCAATGAACAGAGCAAGATGGAGAATCCTTAACAGTTGCTTGCTTTCCAAACAAATCCACTTAGGCCAATAGGTAAAGGTAAGGGTTCCCTTGCTCAAAAGCCAGTTGAATCCAACTCTAGGGTTGCGGTGCTCATCTCCGTTTCAAAGCCAAAGAGCCAGCGCTGTCCAAAGACGTTTCCGTGGTCATGTGGCCAGCATGACTAAACACCAAGGCGCACGGAATGCTGTTACCTTCCCACCGAAGTGGTACCTATTCATCTACTTGCAATTTCTTGCTTTCAAACTGCTAGGTTGGCAGGAGCTGAAACTAGAGACGGGAGCTCACTCCGTCATGCGGCACCCGGGTCTCGAACTGCTGAACAACTGACCTTCCAAAGCCTGCAGTTCAGCGTCTTAACCACTTGAGCCACCGCAGCTCCCACTTAGGCCAAAACTGTGGTCTAAGGTTTAGAGACTTAGGCCAATACAAAGTCTCCAAACCTTAGACCACAGTTTTTAAGATAGGGAAGTAAGGAAGTTGGAAAGTAAGAGGGTTTGACCTTTACCCCGTTTTCACAATTGAATGAACTCCGGACTGGTTGCCAAGTTTCTTTTCGTTTAGATGCATTCCTTCCCCCACTAACTTTTTTTTAACCTTCTCTGCGATATTACTAATTTTGCACCAAACACCACACATCAAAAAGAAAGAGGGTAAAATTCAGACTGCCTTTATTTCCCCCCCCACGCATGCCATTACTGTGTGCATACATCTTCCTGTTTGTCTCTCCCCAGGATACACCTTCTCCTTTAGTGTGCTTTTACTTTCACTGGCAGTGTGGAAATGTACAGATGAAGCCTTCGCTCCACATGATCCCAATCGGGTATTTTTGGGCCTCGTCCATATAAAACGTTCCACCGGTTAAGATATTCAGGGATGGGATACTAGTTAACAGAGAGTATACAAATGGCTGAGGCAAAGCAATACTTCAGTAACAGTCTCAAGAAGAGAAAAAACCAGCACGGGGCCACAGGATCCGCTCCCCGACTTGAAACAGGCGATGTAAAGAGACCTCCTTTTCCAAAGACAAGTTTATGTCGTTACTGAATCTTTTATAAGCATCTCTAGAACACTTCAAACAAAACTAGCACAGAGGGACGTTTTGGGAAGGTAAAATGGGACAGAAGGGATATTTTGAGTCGCGGCCTGAAGAACAGTGAACAAAAACAAGCAAGTTGCCCAACTTATGCAAACCTGGCAAAGGGGGGGAAAATGTCAAGGAAAGTTCTCTGCAAAAACACTAGAACACATATGTACATATCACTTCTCCAGCTTCTTTAGGGATCTTCCTCCTTTTCGTCCAGGCTGGCTTTGGGCCGGAAATGCTTCCTGCTCCGTTTCTTGCTGCCGTGGAATCCCACCGTGACCACTGTTGCATCTTCGAGTGCCTCAGCAGAATCTGTGCCAGGCCCTTTGGGAATGCTCAGCACCCCCAACTGCAATGGCTTTTCATCTCCCACTTCCTTGACTCCACTACCTAAGTGATCTAGTCCAACTGTTTCATCTTCCTTCTGGTTGCTAGACTTTTTTTGTGGTTTCCCTTTGAGCTCCTGCTTCGTAGCCATCGGCTTTGCCTCTTCCTTCTCCTCCTCCTCCTCCACCGCCGCTCTTTTTCTTCCTGAGACATCTAAAACCACCTTTGATGGTTTAGTGAAGACAATCCTTCCGGCCCCAGAGCTGGAGGGATCTTGGTTGAAAGACGGGGTGTAGCTTTCAGAACGAGTACTGCTTTGTTCTCGGCTCTTCTTCAAGCCCTCCAGAAACTCCATGGCGATCGATCGGTTTGCCTTCTCGCTAGTCTCCGAGACGCTGTCTAAGCTGTACTTTGTCCAGCGTTCTGGGTGGGCCACATAGTCGGGCACCTCAGGAGAACTCTTAGGAGATGGCAGGGGCCTGCTGGGTCTTCCAACGTTTTCTGCAGGCGTCTTGCTGGGTGGAGGCAGAGGGCGCTTAAACCTCCCGTCAATGATGTTGTCTTCGGCCAGTGAGGGCACCGCACGTTTGGCCGCCCCTTCTAGACAATCAAAGATGCTCTGGCTGCGCTCGGAGAAGCTGGAGCTCATGCCTTTCAGGTGAAACGGTTGGACGGGTGACCTGCGGGGGCCGTGCGGGGGGCCGCCACTTTCATCCGACCCGCCTCCGACATCATCCAAGGCCAGGGGATCTTCGGGGGAGACGGTATCAACTTCGGCCTCATCTGGGAACCCAAAGTCATCTGAATCTGAATCACTCAATGAAACTGTGTCTGAGGGAAGGGCGCCCTCATAATCTTTGCCCCCACCAGCCACTATACCCACAAAAGCTTCACCTGCACCTTCCTCGCCCATCTTGGGGCAATTACTTGGTTATGCTAACTTGGCTTTGGCCCGGCTGCGGCAAATTTAAGTTTTCCAGTTGTCCGGGGAGTTTAAAGCCTAAAACAAAAAGGAACAGTTCAGTTCAGCTTTGAGAAGTCAGCCAGAAACAACGCAGCCGGATGGTTAACTGAGACTAGCCAGACAGAACGTATTCCTCAGTCCTGAAAGAACTTCATTGGCTCTGCTCACTCGAGTGTGTTATTTGGGGACTGCTTCTATCACTTCCATTTCATATTGGACAAATATTTTGTTAATTTCTTAAAGCTGAAAATTGAGATCGCTTATCTCGTCAATAAATTTAAAAAATGAAATACGGCGAGAGCTTGCCCTGAAAATCCTCCATTTCGTATCAAGAGAGTTTAAAGCTGAAAACACCAACAAAAGCATACAAGATCTGTGCAAATAAATAGTTCCTCTTTTTTTTTTTAAATCCCTTTTGTTGTTATAAAACTACACAGGTGTTGTAATACGCTATCAACTGCTTACTTACTAGACTTTCTTTAAAAAGGAAGAAGACCTTAATAAAACACTAAGCCTGTACAATGCAAACAAGAATCTGGTTCTGTCATTCCTTGGCTTGTTTAAACAAAGCCAACACAATATCCCCTTCCCACATAGTGCAATGGTCAGGTAACAGTATATTAGTAGTAGTAAAATTTATTGTGTAGCCATTGGCCATTACAATTTAAAACAATATACAAATTAGACAATTTACAGCACTGGAACTTGAATTAGATTTAAAATATAATAACTTCTAAAAATCTGCACATTCAGTATTTAAATTAATTAAAATCTTAAATATAGATACCCATCTCCAGAAACACATACACAGCCCCAAACATTGCCGTTTTACAGTTAAATTTCATTTAATTTCCCTATGTTCATGGCCCTGATATTACTAGCCGCTAAGGCGAAGAGCGCTGCCCTATAGGAAACTGTAGGGTCTGCGTCTGACAGCCCAAATATTAATTTATCGGTATCAGAAAATATTTGCAATTGATCTATTATTGCAGTCAAGAATTTACATCTCGGTTCCCAGTGCAATGGGCAGACCATGACATAATGAAAAAGATCCTCCACAGAAGTTTTACAGATACAAATACGTTGCTCCTGGGGTATTTTTAAGTACTGTCCCAGGAGTAATTCTGTTGGCATAGTCTGGTTACGCAATGCTGTTCTAAGCTGATATGCAGTAATATTTACCAGGTATGGTAACAGTATAGTGTTAAAAGCACTTTCAGGTGAGCTGAATCTGAATACAGATTTAAAGACTATTTCATTCTAAATGAGAAATTTTAAACATCATGCTGAGAATATGTTCCAATGAACAGATCTGCCAAAATTTGAGTTCTATATGTTCTATATCCTGCCTTTCTGTTTGAAAAGTACACCCAAGGCAGCATCCAAGTTCCAGCATTAAAGCTCAGTTGTAAGTGGGGCAAGGGGAAAAAAAGACACTTGCATATGATAGGGAGAAGGAAGAGAGAAATGTGACCCAGTCCAGATTAATTTTTACCGTCAGTGATGTATCCAGCGAGTAAATTAAAATCTAGTCATTTGCCTCCTGCTTCCAAATATACATACATGTGCTCACCATTTAAAACAGGTATATATCAAGGGTCTGTTGGAGTTTCATGTTCTAACCATCTGCACTGATGTAGGGCCATGCTTGATAGGACTGTGCTCAACTCTAAAATACGGCATGAATAATGTTTAAACCCTCCTAAAACATTTTAAAATGACAAGGGAACTGGGCCCTCAAATCCTGCTAAATTTCTATGGCATGTTTGAGTGCCAGCATGTTTTATTTAACATGCAACATCAGGTTGCATTTAAACTTCACCGGGTCCAAAACAGGGCTGCAAGGATTCTAACTGGAACTTGCTGTGGAGACCATGTAACACCAGTTCCAGCTCAAGTATAGTAGCTGTCAATTTTTTCTTGGACTCAATTTAATGTGCCACCCAAAAAAGCGTAGGACATGAGCCCCTGGGAGACTGCCTTTGCCTGACTGTGCTTTTAAACCAACTGATGGTGCCCTGCTACAGGTGACTACATTAAGGGAAGAAAGGTTGACGCTTATGGAGGACATGTCTTTTTCAGTTGTGGCCCCCAACATATGGGCTTTCTTCACCCCAAGTCATTTTGCCTCAGTCCTGCCATTCAGAATCTTACTACGACAATGCCATTCCAGAGGGCATTTTGGTATTTGTTTTCCCTAATGTGTTGTTTTAATCTGTGATTTCACTGCTGATTTTATTACTGACTATTGGGCCTTTGATTGGCCTTATTCTCACTGTTTTTTGGGGGAGGGAGAAATGTTACTTTGAGTATTTAGGCAGTTGCTAGGTTCTGTGTTTTAGGTTTGTTATTTATGTGTTTTAATCTTTTACATTTTATGCTGTAAACTATCTCGAGCAGTGTTCCCTCTAAGACAGCTTAGAGGGAGCACTGATCTCAAGTGCCATTTATGGTACAGAGATGAAATATAAATCTTTCAAATATACACACAATACAACAAAACAAAACATGCCCTACCTTCTCAAGGGTCATTTCACACATTTCTTTTTTCCTGCATTCATTCAGCTGCTATGTTCATAGATTCTGATTTCTTAAAAGATAACAACTGTACTGGACAGAGCCAATTTAGGTACTATTTTATGGTGACTGTAAACAGGCATGGAAAAATCTACTAGCCACTCACCATCTGGAGTTTGAACCAGTATCCCATCCTCTGGGTCAGTTAAAGCCACCAAGGTTCTTAAGATCTCGTACCCTGGCAGTAAGAGGGTGGACAGGTCGTCAACGCAAAGAAATAGTATGGAATAGCAACTTTCTGATACGTCAACAGTACTCATCATTTTGACAGATGTGGCTTGCTAGGTTTTGTTTTTTTTAACCAATAAGACACCTGCAAGTCCTTTTTTAAATTGGCAAGAAGATCCTTTGCACAACTCTCAAATATGCCAGTGTAGCTAATCAGGTACTCAGGTTCACTCTGCAACCTGCACAGCTAAATGACTTGCAGAGACTAGAATAATACCATTTAACAATAACCCTCTAAATGGCTTTCTACCAGCAGAATTGACGAGAAAGCTACCCACTATAACCCCTGTTATCAAAAATTCTTGTGAGAGAAATGGGAAGAAAAGAAATGAGACAGATTGAGTTCACACTTTGTTTCTCAAGCACTAAAATAAAATAAAATAAGTGGACCAAATCCAAAAGCTCAAGGGGGTGGGGACTACATTGTGTAGGAATTTTTTTCAAGTTGAGGCTTTTAGGTGCCTTGGCAGTAAACAGAAAGAACAAAAACGAAATGATTTCTGAGCAGTAAACAGGAAAAAAAATACAAAATGATGTCTGGAAAGACTCACAGGTTCTTTGCAGTGACCAGATGAGAACAGAACTGAGACAGGCTGGCTTCTCTCTGAATGGAACAGTCCCCTTCAGAATCTTCCATACTAGTCTTGGTCCTTATCGTCTGATCTGTGGGGAAAACCAAAGAGCATGTTACTTTCTTCCTCTTCTAGCTCATCTTCTTGCAGCAAAGTATCTTTCTGTTTTTGCCATTATCTTATAGTTAATACTTAGGCCTGAAGTACAAGTTGTCAGATGGATCCAATAAAATGTGGGGCTGCCACCAGTGTTCCCTCTAAGCTGAGTTAGTGTGAGCTAGCTCACAGTTTTTTAGCCTCCAGCTCACACATTTCTGTCTCGGCCCAGGAAGGAGGGCTCCAGAGCAAACTAATTTATGCAGGAGCCAAATCACTTGCTCACAACTTTAATGCCAGTAGCTTAAAAAGTAGAATTTTTGCTCACAAGGCTCCACAGCTTAGAGGGAACATTGGCTGCCACATATTTTAGTAAATTATTTGTCTGTACCTGTGGCATATTAGCCACAGCAGGATATTACATGCTGGGCTCTTTCAGATAGCCTGACTCCATGGGAACCTTATTGGTCAAGTTATTAAAAAGTCACTGGGAAAGACAGTAATTCATTTCGGAGTACAAAAGGGTGACAAACCATTGGCTTGGATCCAGTGTACATGGCAAAACCGTCAATTCACCAGTTACTTCACTTCCACATATGTAACCTACTCAACCAAAACCACCTAGCTGACAACCAGAGTGAAGGTGTGAGTTAAAGAACTGCCTGGCAGAGAAAGTAACTTCAGAGAATTCTATTGAGACACAACCTGAAAGAAAACCTTCCTTTCCCCAGCCAAGGCCACCATTAGCTATTAGTTCAATTGTTTTCCAATCCCAAATGTACAAATCAGTCATTTCTGAGCATGTGCAAACCTTCATCCACTTTCAGGGAAAACAGAACAGGAGTCAGAAGTTACTTAAGGGTCTGTTAACAGGATTAAATCAGCAGATTTATAGGTGACACAAGGACTCTTAGGAGGATCACTAAGACAGCATTTCTGAAACATTTGGAACCTCCTCAACTGCAGTATAACAGTTAAGCATTCTTGTGAATATACAGATGTTCTCTTCCAAGACCAGAAATGCTTCTCTTTTAATGAAAAGCTGCAGTTACCTGTCCCAAGGCTCTGGGAAAGGGCAGACTAAGAAATTATAGACTTGATCAAAACAGACTTGTTTGAAATAAATCAGAGAAATGGTGGC